GAAGTTATACGACTTCTGCGACGATGGCCAGGGCGCGGCGGGGGTGGTGGGGGGCCCACGCTCCCCAGCGCTGCGCCACGCCTGCCGCCTGCTGGGCGTGGCGCCCGAGGCCCTGGCCGCCGCGCTGACGACGCGCGAGCTGGCGGCGGGGGGCGAACGCGTCAGCCGGCGCCTGAGTCCCGCGGCGGCCGCTGAGGGGCGGGACGCGCTGGCCAAGGCCCTGTACGCCCGCCTCTTCGACTGGCTGGTGCGCCAGGTGAACGTCGCGCTGGTGGCGGCGGGCGCTCCCCGCGCCTCCATTGCCGTGCTGGACATCTACGGCTTCGAGGCCTTTGCCACCAACTCCTTCGAGCAGCTGTGCATCAACTACGCCAACGAGCGCCTGCACCAGCAGTTCAACGCCCACCTGTTCAAGCTGGAGCAGGCGGTGTATCGCGACGAAGGCATCGACTGGACCGACGTCGAGTTCGTGGACAACCAGGTGAGGGATTGTGGGACTTCTTGTTTGTGGGGGGGGGGCAATGTTGCTATGGCATGGGAGAGCTGGGACTGTGGCAGAGCAGAGGGCCATCGACATGATAATGGAAGAAACAAAGAGGTGAAAAGGTGGGTTACCGTGGGTTCATCAATGGCTGGCTCGCCGGATGCCCAAATCCTGGGCGAAAACCCAACCGCATGGGCTTGGGCAGGTATGCCATGCTGTCCAGGTATGCACAACCTCTCGCCTACTCAGAGCCATGTACTGCTGAACCAGCGTTCCCTCCATCCCAACCCCGCCCACGTGCAGGACTGCGTGGACTTGCTGGAGGCACGGCCGCCAGCGGGTGTGGGGGTGCTGTCCCTTCTGGACGAGGAGTGCCTCTTCCCCCAGGTGCCGCTGCGTGTTCGGGCATGGGGGCCACCTGAGCTTGGGCATGCGCATCCCTGCTCGTATTGAATCATGTGCTCAAGCACCCTCCCAGGCCCAATGCAGTGCAGAGAGTGCCCTTGTTCGACACCCACACCTGCCACCTTCCGTATCCATATACATTCTTCCCCTCTCCACCTCTTCCCCCCCCCCGCCTCTCGCTACTGTCCTGCAGGGCAACGACACCACCTTCGGGGAGAAGCTGCGCAAGGAGGCCGGCTGGCACCCGCGCTTCTCCTTCGATGCTCGCGCCCCCGGCACGGACTTTTGCATCCACCACTCCTCTGGCAGCGTGGTCTACTCCTGCGCCGCCATGCTGGACAAGAACCGCGACACGCTGAGCCAGGGTGAGTGAGAGCCTGGGGCATGGGGGTGGAGGGGGGTGTTGCCTCAGCACTTCCGGGGCTGGGTTGCCAGACCTCAGGAGCGTTGTGACACCATTGCTTGGGGGGTCCAAGTCCTCAATCATGCCCTCGCCACAGTCACGCACCCCTTCCCCACCCTCTGAGGCCCCCCAACCCCTTTCCCCACCCTCAGACCCGTTGCTGGTGCTCACCGACAGCAGCGAACCCCTGGTCGCCGAGCTGGCTTCGGGCCTGCGGGCCCGCGAGGGCGAGCGCCGCGCCGCGGCCGGCACCGTGGGCGCCCGCTTCCGGGACCAGCTGCGCGGCCTGGTGGCCGGCCTGGACGCGACCCAGCTCCACTTCATCCGCTGCCTGAAGCCCAACGCCGCGCAGCGCGCCGACGCCTTCGACCCACGCGCCGTGCTGCACCAGCTGCGCTGCTGCGGCGTGCTGGAGGTGGTGCGCCTGGCGCGCGCCGGGTTCCCCGCCCGCCACGCGCACGCCGACTTTGCCGCCGCCTACGCGCACCTGCTGGGGCCAGCGCTGGGCAGCGAGCGGGCGAGCACGCAGCGCGCGCATCCAGGCACGCCCCCGCCCGGCGCCCTGGACACCTGCCTGGACCTGGTGCGAGCCTTCGACATCCCCGCCGCCGACTTCCGCGCGGGGCGCACCCGCCTCTTCTTCCGGGCGGGGGTGCTGGCCCGGCTGCAGGACCGCGCCGATCGCGTGCTCAGGTGGGTGGGCTGCCTCGGTGGCTCGGGGATGAGGACCCAGGAGGGAAGGCTGCTGGGCACTCATCCATCGCTCTGGAAGCACAGGCGGCCTCGCCGGGTGCTGAGTGATCCCGAAGCCCGGCCCAGCCTGGGCGGTCCTCGCAGCCACCACCCTCTGCGCCACGGTGCGTGAGCACGGCGCGCCAGGTCACCGGATTCACCGCTTTCTTCCGCACACCCAACAATCGCAGGGCCACTGTCCTGATCCAGAGCTGGGCGCGCATGGCGCGGCAGCGCCGCGCTTTCCTGCGCCACGTCCGCGCCGCCACGCTCCTGCAGGCGGCCTGGCGCGGCGCGACCGCGCGCCGACTGGTGCGCCAGCTCCGCGCCCGGCGCGCGCGTTCCGCCATTCTCGTGCAAGCCGCCTTCAGGGGCCACGCTGCGCGCGCTGCGCTGCGGGCGCAGCGCGCTGCGGCCCTCAGGATTCAGGCCGCCTGGGCCGCCCATCAGGTGGGCGGAGGGATGGGGTTGGGTGGGGAAATCTGTGACGCATGCTGGGGTGGTGGCCGTTGGGGGGCATTCCAGGATTGGGATTGCAGTGAGAAGCGCGTGTGAAGATGGTTTTGAAGCTTGACATGCAAAGGCGGGTCAGTACCGCCTCGCGCCATCGTTGCTGAGCGCCGGATGCCGTGCCACCCAGGCCGAGAAGGAGCGCGCCGCGGACGTGGCGGCCGCCAGCTGCCTCATCCTCACCGGCGAGGTGTCTTTCGGCGCCCGCCGCACCGAGAGCCTCCCCTGCGCTGAGCCCAGCCTCCCCTCAGCAGATCTGCATGCACAGGTTTGTCGGGTAGGAATGGGTCTGTGGGTGATCCTGAAGAGTGATTGAATTGCTGAGGATGATGCAGTTCGGTACTGCAGCAGCAGGCACTTGTGTGTGCCATCCGCCCCCTCTCCATTGCGACAAGTTGCTGCACTCCATCTTTCCCCCTCTCCACCACACGTTCATCCCTTCCCACCTACTCCCTGCAGCTGCAAGAGGCGCTCGCGGGGCGGCGCGAGGCGGAGACCGACGCCCAGCTGCTGCGTGCCGAGCTGGAGCAGCTGCAGCAGTCTCTGACAGGGACGGGGGGGCTATCCCCCGCCTGGGCAGGCGACCGGGGCCGCGGTGGGTTCAAGGCAGCGCCGCACCCCGACGCTGCCCTGGCCGCCGCCCGGGCCAGCGGCCGCAGCGGCGGCACTCAGCCGGGGCTGTCCACCTCCCTGGACGACGTCAGCTTCATGTCCGTGAGCGAGGGTGGCGAGGGCGCATCGCCCGACTCCCAGTTCACGCCCTCGCCCCCGCACCCGGGGCGCCCAGAGGTGCGTGGTGGTTCTGGGCCTCGTTGGGGAAGTGGTTGCGTGTGTCTACAGGAGAAAGTACGAGCTGCCCTGCGACCGCACCGTGACTGTGCAGAGGCGGGCTAGGGTCTGGGTGAACTCGCCGAAGGAGCACAGCCATTCAGCAAGCCTGCCCAGCGCATGCAGCCTCAAAATGCTTGGTGCCCCCGGGCCACTCCAAATGTGCCTCTCCACGTCCATACACGCCCCAAGCTCTGGACCCTTTTGACCCCTTTTGCCGAACCCACCCCTTGACAACACCCACCCGCGGCAAACCACGCAGGCCGCCTCGCCGCCCACGGCGCAGCGCATGCTGGCCTCGCTGGCCCGCGACTTCCGGCGCAAGGCCACGCTCTTCGACGACGACGTGGCCTTCATCATGGAGGTGCACAGCGGCGCCTCGGATGCCCCAGGCATGGACCCCGACGCCGAGCTGGCGGCGCTGCAGCAGCGCTACCGCGTGTGGAAGACGGCGTTCAAGGGCAAGCTGGCGGCGGCGGAGCGCGCGCTGCGCTCCGGCAAGAAGGCCCGGCGTGGGTTCAAACCCTTCGGCAGGTGACGCGGCCGCGTGATGACCTCGGCGCATGGTGGCCGCGCCGCCGACGCAGTCCGTATGCAGCCAGGTTCTCGACCCTGGCATGTACGTGCAAGAGCTTTGCCCCTGCTCTGGTGACCGCTCTCCTCAGGGATGTGAAAGGGCTTGCAGCGAGGTGTAAGGGTGATCAATGGCCTCAGGCTCAGCTCATCTTCATGCATCCCTTCATGCTGTTCCATGTTCCATCCCCCAAAATGCAGTCCTCCACTGTGGCACACTTCACCCTACTGCCCATGCTTCGTGGACTGGGTTACAGCTTATCGTCATTGTACACTGGGGCACATCACAGATTGGGGGTGGGACATACGTGTGTGTGCATCAAAGTTCGCTAAGTACTACCCACCCATTTGGGCTACGCTACAGCATAAGGAAGAGGGGGGGGGATCGCTAAGGGGCGCTAGAATAGCAGATCAGGAGGGCAGTCTCGGAGTTCTGCGGGAAGGACGGTCTAGTGAGGGCATCTCGGCAGTCTGGTGCTCTAAAGGAAGAGACGCGCTGTATCGAAAATCGGGGCTCGGGGGGACTGCGGGCGGCGAGGCGACCGAGCAATTGCTCGGCGGCCACCCACCCTCTCCCGCCACAGCGTCCGTACAGGCTATGACTCAGGCGACGTCAAATTCGACTATTGCAAAAAGGGACTGCTGTGACAGTGTCAAAAATACGGCGCCGCGGGCGCGCCCCCGGGGGGGCGCGCCCAGCGGCGGCACGCTCGGCCGCTGGCTCGCTGAGTTCTCTGTGCGCGACGCACGCCTCAGGCGCATGCCGCTTGCGATCGGACAGGCAGCGTCGGGTAAGCGCTTTATTGGGAGGGGGGAGCTCCGACTCAGGCCTCCCGCGTCTCTCGGCATCCATTCGCTCATGAGCGGGGGACATACTGAGCCTCGTTGGTCTGGTGGGAGGCCTGCTCCAGGGCGGAGCGCATGCGCATGGGCATGCCCAGTGGCGGGGTAGCCGGCGCGTCCCTCTCCTTGGCCTCCTCCGTCACGCGGGCGCCCGCTGCAAGGGCGGCGGCAGCCGCGGCGGCACTCAGCTTGCGCACCTGCTCCACGCTCTGCGCCGCGGCGCCCTCGGCCATCACCTTCATACTGGCCGCGAGGTCGGACTGCAGCAGGGCCTGCAGGGCCTCGCTGGGGGAGCTGCTGGGCTTGGGCTGCGGCGAGGGGGAGCCCGAGTAGGTGCTGAAGGCCCGCATGGGGGCGGACACATGCTGGTGGTGGCGGAATGCCACCTGCTGCGGCCGCTGGGAAGGGAGACGGGCCGCGAGGACGGGCTGGATGGCTGAGAAGAGGGAGTTCATCTGCGGGGCGACGGGGATGCGGGTGAGAAGCGAGCTTACGGGGCAGCTGCCACAGGTTTCGGAAGGGTCTCCGACATACACACTCATCATTGTTGATGGTATTTAAGGCGGTATGGGCATCCTGGGGGCCGGAGCATGGCAAACACTCGGGCCGCAACACACGTTTTCGAGTGGCCCTAGGGCAACCGACGGACCTTGTTGTTGCTCGGAAAGTGAGGGGACGAGAACCACGCGAAAGAAAACTTTCTCTCAGCTGGAAGGTGAATGAGCAAGCTGCGGGAACGTTGGTGGTCAGAGGTGGGAATGTGGTTGGCTGAGATGCCCCACGCCTTGTTTAATCCAGCCGGCGAAATCACGACGTCCTGGGTCGATCGATGCCCAGGCACGTGTGCCAGTCCGAATAGGGCGCGCCCGGGGGTTGGCAAGGGCTCCTCTGAACTCATGAACTCATCCTTCCTTGGCAAAAGGCTCACCGTACCCATCCAAAATCTCCCGACTTGCATCTCGCATGCTTTAGATCTCAGGGTTTGATCGTCGGGTGCGGCATGTCGGCTTCCATCCAGGGAACCCACCTGGTGGGTGGCATCTCCAGGGGATGGACCCCCGTCCGCCCGATCCATAGGCACAACCCTCCCTTCCTGCGCGCTGGGAGGTGTCTCTCACAGGCGCTTCGGTGTCAGGGAGCAAGCACTGCGGCAGAAACCATCGCCAAGGCACGTGTTGTGAGGGATGGTGGAACTAGGGATGCTTCCATGCACCATTTGGAGGTCTGAGCCCCAAGGGGGGCCAGCCCCAACCTCATTGCCTTCCTGGGCTTGAGATTCGGATGCAGGAGCATCCACAGTGTGCCGGCCTGCGACCGCCGCTCATTCTTTCTTCCCGCAGACGGAGCGCTTCTCGGCCCTGGACCGCGTGTCCATCCTCTCGGAGGCGCTGCCCTACCTGCAGCGATTCCGGGGCAAGACCGTGGTCATCAAGTACGGCGGGGCCGCAATGAAGGACCCCACCCTCAAGGTGAGGGGGCTGGCATGGATCTGATGGGGAGTCTGTTCTTGTAGCTTCAGTGATCCGTGGTGCCCAGGCGATGGTAGCGATTCATAGAATTCGGCTGCAGCCAGGGATTGGCCGGCGTGGTGAAATGGCCTGGAACATGCTAGACACTCTGGACAGAGTATCCAAGGGGTTTGCATCAGTGTCCCCTCCCAGATCCAGCCACGATCACACCCTCACCTTCCTCGCACCCTCACACCCCCCCCCCCTTGACTGAGTCCACATCACTAATTCCCGTACCATCACACTCATGCCCTGCTTGATTGTCAGGCCGGCGTCGTGGCGGACCTGGTGCTGCTGGCTACTGTGGGCATCCGACCCGTGCTGGTGCATGGAGGCGGCCCGGAAATCAACATCTGGCTCACCAAGCTGGGGATCGAGCCCAACTTCAAGAACGGACTGCGTGTCACCGATGGTGGGACAAGCATGGGAGGAAAGGGGGAGGAGAGGAGCAGCCGGTCGGTGCATGGTCGCTCCCCCTGGGCGCCCTGCAGCCACCCGCTTGTATGCTCATGTTCCACTACCCCGCGGGACAGGCCTGGGCTGCTGTCCTGTGCGTTCATGAGCCCAGCCCATTTCCCTCCTCAATCCTAATCTTCCAGTTCCCACCCAATTCCGCGCACCCACCCTGTCCTTGCAGAGGCGACCATGGATGTGGTGGAAATGGTGCTGGGGGGCCGCGTAAACAAGTCCCTGGTGACCCTCATCCAGCAGTCTGGGGGGCGGGCGGTGGGCCTGTGCGGCAAGGATTCCGACATCATCCTGGCCCGGCAGATGGTGGAGAAGGAGATTGGCTTCGTGGGCGAGGTCACCGGCGTCCGCTCAGACCTGATCAAGGTGCGCTTGTGAGGCGAGCATGGGGCTGGGTGACAGAGTCTGCCTTGCAGTAGACTGCGACAGTTTGGTAACAGTGGTCAGGATACCATGCACTCGAGTCTCGAGGTCCAGGCGTGAGATCTGGCACCGCATGGAGGTTGAGCAAGTTGAACATCTGTTGCGTCCATACCCCCTGACCTCCTTGCCAAGCATCCCTGTGCCCACTGCAGACGCTAGTGGCGGACGACTACATCCCGGTCGTGGCGTCGGTCGCCTCAAACGGCGCAGGCCAGGCTCTGAACGTGAATGCCGACACAGCCGCTGGAGAGGTGCGCGGGTGGTGAGGGTAGGTATCTCCTGGCTGTTTGTGCCGGAAGACACCCTCGGCTCATCGGCTCACGAGGCATCACCTGCCGTCCGGAAACGGCTGGCATGCTTGATGTTACTTGGTTCCCACGACGGACGCCCCAGGCCTTCACCATCCATGCCTCCTCCCCTACTTGTCTCCCTTGACATACATGCCTTGGCATGCCACACATGCCATGGGCCAGAGTACAATACCCCCCAGCCTCCCTCATCGCACACCCTGCCACGCAGATTGCGGCCGCGCTGCAGGCGGAGAAGCTCATCCTCATGACCGACGTGGCCGGCATCCTGCACGACCGCAACGACCCGTCCTCCATCTACCGCGTGCTGACACTGCGCGGCTGCGCCGAGCTGGTCGGCCAGGGCATCATCGCCGGCGGCATGATCCCCAAGGTGGAGGGAGGGGTTTTGGGGGCGATGAGGGCGTGAGGGAGTACGTCGAGCAGGGCGGCCATGCCCTGGGGTGCCAGGCTCTGGTCGATGTGCGTGCACATCCCTCGAGACGAGAGCTGCCCTCTGAGCGCTCAGCCCCCCTCCTTCTTCCCCCCCTCCCCTATAACAGGTGGACTGCTGCATCAGGTCGCTGTCCCAGGGCGTCAGGGCCACCCACATCATCGACGGGCGGCAGAAGCACTCCCTCCTCATGGAGCTCCTGACCGATGAGGGTGTGGGCACCATGATCACCGGGTGAGAAGCGAACGAACCCGTGCCTTCTTTCCCACTTGCTCTGCTCCCCCCTGTTGTAACGCTGATCATTGTAACGCTGATCATTGCGACGCCGAGCACGGTCCAGTACGAAAGAGGAGGCAACACACAGGATGAGAGATTGTGGTGGTAGAGAAGGCTATGTCGTCAGTTTTGGGTCTCGCACGCGCACAGGGGCCTAGTGCACAGCGGCTGCTGTTTTCTTGCGAGGGCTAGCGCACACCTCAAGGCCTCGACGGCGCGCCGGCCTCGGTCAGCAGCGTGCGCCGGGCTCCGGGCGCCGAGCTGGCATCCTGCCCGGCATCATTCTGCGCCCCCCCCGCTCCCCGCGAGCCGATGGCCTGCAGGAGCAGGCGGCCCCCGCGCGTCTCCACCGCCCTCTTCCAGGAGGGCGGTGGCGCGTGGTCGGCGCCGGGGCCCGCGCGCTCCCTCTTCACGAACAGGGGGGAGAGCGAGGCGTTGGCGCGCAGGAGCAGGCGCGCGCCGTACGAGCCGCCGCCGCCTGGCAGGCGCGGGGGTGCCGCCGCGGGGCTCACCACGCCGCTCGGTCGGGCGGGGGTGGATCCGGGGTCGCGCTGGGTCGCGGTGGTCGCCAGCGCGTCGGACGGCAGCGCCGGCTCGGCGCAGTCGTCCATCGGACCGTCTCGTCCTCTCGCCTGCGCGCCTGGCGCCCCACGCTGGCTGGCGCTCTGACCAGCGGCTTTGCGAGCTTCACTCACGCCTGCTGGATCTGCCCTCAGCGTCTGAGGCGATTTGAGGATGCCGCGCACCTGCCAGGGTGGGAAGGCAGCGGATTCAGTGTTTGTGCCGAGGGGATTTCGTGATCATGCACTGGGGAGCGACTCGCATGTGACAGGCCGCGCCAGAGCCGAGCTGGCTCTCCTCCATGCGGGCAGGGCCATGCAACTGCAGCTCTCCCCCTCCCATCCAACAAAACTCGTGAGCACCCCACAGCCTACCAGGGGGCACGGCGAGCGTCGGGCCCAGCACCGGGTGCGCACGGCCACGAGCTCAGCCCAGGCGCCCTCCAGCCGCGCGGCGACGGCGCCGCAGGCCTGCCCGTGCAGGCCGCCCAGCGCGGCGTCCACGGCGCGCGCGGCGCCCGCCTCCGCCTCCAGCGCCTGGTCCAGGGTGGGCGGGTAGGGCATGCCGCGCCGGTCCAGGCGCGCCCAGCCCTCGCCCGACACCCAGTGCCGCAGCAGCTTCAGGTCCAGGGCCAGGGACACCGCCTCCTCCACTTGGTGCTCCTGGGAAAGCGTGGCGCAGGAGGCCCCGCCGCCGGGCCCCGGCACGCCGCCCCACAGTCTGCGACGGGGGGCCGGACCCTCGCCGGGCTGGGTGACCGAGGGGAAGATGGGCGGACGCCCGCGCACGGGGCGGGGGCTCCTGGACCCCGCCAGGGAGGGCGGGCGTGGCGCGCGCCTGCATGCGGGGAGGAGGGGGTGCGGGGGGTGAGGCCCGGTCAGGAAGTCCTGGGAGTGGAGAGGAGCATGGCACATGCACGTGCTGGAGAGTGCAGTACGCACATCCTGGCACAGGTGCAGCCCTCCCTGGAGCAGGCAGGCGGATTGTGTGACGCTGGGGAGACATGTGAAACGTGGAGCAGGAGGGTGGCACAGCTAGGGGGACGATGCCGGTAGTGCACAGACACAAGCCCACGACGCACGGCGGGCTGGTGGAGGGGTCGGTCCATGCCGCAGGCTCCGGGGCGGGGGGCGAGGCTCGCCGGTCCGGGTTGATCCCATCCTCAAAGGAAACCTGCGCTTTGAAGGGTGGGGAGGGTGGGTCCTCGGTGCCGTATCCAGAGGCGGGTGTATATGTGAGCAGCTCCCCGTGGGTTCGCTGCTCCTAGAGTAACTCTACTGGCCCCACTGGCTGCTAGGCCGCGCTCGAGCGCCCCACAGCAGGACATTGGGCTCGCCCACATGTAGAGCAATCTCGAGGCAGAAGCAGCGCCCAACAAGCACTCGATCCCCCTCACCCTGCGGCTCAGGGGCCGTGGCGTGCTCGACTCCTGGGAGAGAATGCACGCAGAGGCTGTGAATGACGCCGGAGAGGCAGGGCTGGTCGGGTCTGTCGTGCTGCCGGGCGCTGAAACGCGGTGGGAGGGCGAGGCGGGGTCGCTCGCCGCGCGCATGATGCCAGGGGAGCCAGGCGGCGGCGCCTGTGTCTCTCCCTCCACGGCCCCGGGAGGAGAACGAGGCTGGCCCCGATTCCCTGCCCCCCCATCACCACATTCTTGGCGCATGCCTGCGGGCGGCGGGGACATGCGTGTGGGCTCGGATAAAGCATGGGGGTCGGAACAACTCACTGGCGCCCTAGCAGACTACAGGATCGAGCTCTGCCTTCGCGCATCCCCCGCCACCATGACAAATAATCCCACCTGAGATCGGCAGCCTGCCGAGGGAGCAGACCTCGGCCTCGCCCCTTGCGCTGCAGGCGGCGCGTTGCACCGACCAGCTGTCGGCGGGCAGCTGGTCCAGGAGCTGGGACACCTTGGCCAGCGCCCGCGTCAGCGATCCCGGGGAACCCGCCCCCTCGAACGGCGAGCCCTCAGGCCCTAGGCCGGGGAGGACCCCATGCGTGGGAGAGGGGTCTGGACTCCGGCTCGTCAGAAGGATCGACCTTGCCGGCGACAGCAGGCCATCGGGCGGCAGGCGCAGGGGCTCATCGCACGGTCCCTGCCCTGCAGACTCCAGGCTGGCGGTGTCGGTCAAGAGCCCCGCGACGACGTCGAGCTTGTCCAGCTGGAAATTCTGGCAGTCGCTCCGGCCGGCCTGGGCGCCCTCGCCGTGGGCCTCAGCAGGCGAGGGCCCGCTGAGTGGCCTCCGAGTGGGGTCCTGCGGATCGCACATCACGCTGTCTGCTCGTCGAGAAAGAGGCAAGTTGTCCGAGGCTTGCGGCGCGGCGGCCGCGCACGGAAACGTGCGTGGAGGGCCATCTGCCAGAGGGGGGCTGTTGGGTCTGCTCCTCTTCCGGGGCGTGCTCTGCGTGGGCGACTCCCGGGGTGGTGGTTGAGGCCTGGCCGCCCTGCACCATGGATAGTGACCCTGCAGCCAACAACAGGGAGTTGGAGGATGTCAAGCGAGCGTTTCGGAGTCAGTGATCCAGTTGGACCTCGCAGCAGCATCGCCAGGTCGGCCACAGTCCCCAAGGCCTTGGAGCCCCCATCCCCACCAGTACGCAAGCCGTGCAGAAGGCCAGGCCGAGGAGGACGTGCCTATCGCGGGCCCCGGCCTCCTCCACCGCAGCCAATGTAGTCGGTGAAGTTTCGGGCATCGTCTGATTTCAGGGCCCTCTCGAAGGGTCCCCACCGCTGCACGGCTCGCCGTTGGAGTTTTCGCGGCGGTGTCGACGCGGAGCCCGGGAAGTGCACCACTCGCAGGATGAAAAGCGTGCACCCACGCAATCGCTCGACAGAGAGGCTGCTTATCCAGATATGTATATCCTCTTCGACGCAGCCTCAAAGCTCCATGATGGGCCCTTAAGGGCACCGATTGATGTCTTGGTGGGCAATCGATTTCGTCCGCGCAGTTTCACTTTTTCGAGGCCTGGCGCATTACAGGTACTCACGGCAGCTTCCCGACCATATCAGAGCACCGATCGGCCCTGGAGCGTCATCTATGCCTGGAGTCCAGGTCCACCTCCAATTGCGAAACTTGGAAGCCGATCTGTCCGAAGCCATACCGTAGATGGCAAAGCATGCACGGCACGCGCATCTCCCACCCTGAGATAGTTGCATATGTTGGTCGTGGGACAGCGCCAGTGCCAGAGCCTATCAGGATGCTGTAGGCGAGTTACACAAATTCCAAACATTTTTAATGTTGTATGCTGGCTTGGAGGCTTCCGTGCCGCACTTGTCCCCGTTTACGTCGGCTCGGCCCCATGTGCCACGCTGCGGGATCCGCAGACCCACATGCTCGGCCCTCACAGAACGGATCACCAGCCTCCAGAATGAGACGAGTAGGAACATTTGGCTCGGGTTGGAGACCTGTGCTGCTTCCAGTGACCACTTGATGTGAGGCTCGTGGCCCATGCAAGATTGGTCCATACCCCACGCTGCCTGCAGTCAAGCACTGCGTGAAGCTGCGCTCCTCGGCCTCCTACCGTGGGGAGCAGGGCCGCATGCTCCTCGTCAGCAGGACTCTGGTGCTGGACCTCGCCCCACATGTGCACACCTCCAACCTGTTCGCCCTGTCCCCGGAAGACGTCCCTGAAGGTGCAGCAAAGGAGGGGGGGGAAGTCGTGCCGGAGATACCCCTGCGTAAAGTTTAGATGCTTGCTCAGCCAGCATGTGCCAGGCTCCAGCTGGCGTGCTCAGACTGTCCAACAGCATCCACCAGGCCTTGAAACCCACCCCCCATCCCTTGCTGCCCCCACCACCAGGCACACCGCACAGCAACCTGACGCTGGTGACCCCGCCTGTCATGCGCAAGCTGACGGGGCTCCAGAGCGTGGGGCCCGGGACATTGGCGGCGGAGGTGCTGCGCAACGTCTACTCCCACGACCTTGCCTCCTGCGGGCCACGCCAGCTGGTGCTGGACGGAGTGCAGGACCCGGGCAACATGGTGGGAGGGTGGGAGGGCTGTGGGGACAGGGGGCAGGGAGGTCTCTGGGTGGGGCCGACTGCATACTCGGGAGCCAACCAAGGCCCGAGTACCGCCGCTGCCCTTTCCCACCCACACGCTCTCGGACCCCCTTTTGTCGCAGGGCACCCTGCTGCGCACGGCGCTGGCCCTGGGCTGGACCGACGTCGCACTGCTGCCTGGCTGCTGCGACCCCGGGAACGACAAGTGCCTGCGGGCGAGCCAGGGCGCCTCGCTCCGCCTGCGCCTCGTGGCGACGGAGGACGTTGAGCTGGCGGCGTCCTGGAAGGCCACCGGCCGCATGGCCTTCGCGGCCATGGTGCCGGAGGGGACGGCGGTGGGGCGGGGCGGGGGCGCGGGGAAGAAAGGACGAGCCCTCCCCTCCCTGGATGTCGCCGACGGCTACCCCGGCGGCGTCGCGCTGGTGCTGGGGGCGGAGGGGCGCGGCCTGTCTGCCAGCCTGGCACGCGCGTGCCTCCACCTGAGCGTCCCCATGGTGCCTGGGTCGGTGCAGTCCCTGAACGTGGCGGTGGCGGGGGCCATCCTCATGGCCGCCTGCTCCGGCGCATGGCCGCACCTGGGAGAGCCTCAGGACGGCCGGTGAGGGTGGCCAGGCTGCGTGCGAATGTGCCCAAACCCTGGACGGTGTAAACGAATCTATATCTCCCGAGAAGGGGATTGAACCCAGCCTCCTTTGGCTGGTGCGGGATCCACCACCGTCTCGGGCATGCGGCGCTTGCTGCGGGAATCTTAACCTTCCCGACGAATATTTCTGCATGGTCGATATGCCCTCCCACCCACCCTAGCACTAGTGAATGCATCCTGGCATCTGGATGCGCAGTTCCAGGGCCCCGACTCCAATTCGCTGGGTCTTTGCAGCAAAGTCACGAGGTGCCAGAACAACCCTCGACACCCCGCGCGCTACTTGCCGAGCTCCAACGCCGGCAGTCTCAGTGCGCGCGCCGCGAGAACACCATCGACAGTGTGCGGAACTGAAAGGGTCGGGTTTCTGACGAATTAAGCTCCACAGGGGCCACCTTGGGCGCTCGGGTCCAATATGAAGGTGAGTGGAGGTTCGCACCTCTGGTCCTTGCCATGCAGTACGGCCCCTGTGACCCAGCCCGGACCCAAAACATCGGGCGCTCCCCTCCGCAGTTCGGAAAATACCTGGATGAGAAGAAACGGGCCCTGTGGGCCCCACATTACGTCGACTACAAGGCCCTGAAGGATCTCATCAAGGACTGTGCGGCTGCTGCCGAGCTGGTGGGCAGGCAGTGAAGGAGGGAAGGGGAGGTGTCACCTGAACGCAACCACCTGTGCACGAAAAGCTGCATCCCCTGGGTGTCACCGAGCCCCTCTCAACCTGGAATGCACGCCTTGCCCCTGATGCCCGCCTCGCAGAACGATGGCTGGCAATCATCCCAGGTGACTTCGCTGTCCGTCACTCGCTTCAGCTCCCGGGACCTGCCCGAGGAGCAGTTCTTCAAGCGCCTGGACCAGGAAGTGTCCAAGGTGGGCAAATTCACCGCCCAGCTGGTGACCACGCTGCGTGGCCGCCTGCAGAAGCTGCAGGACTCGGTGCATAAGGACCTTAAGCCCGGCGAGAGGGACGAGCTGCTGGAGGTGAGAAAGATGGGGAAAATTTCTGAGGGCAAGACCCTGGAAATGGTCGTTTATAGGGTGATATTAGAAACGTCTAACCAGAGTACTCCCTGGGAGCTGGGCACAATCATTGTAACCCGGTGCTCCCCCACCCCATCCCCATCCAAGCAGGAGGCCAAGGCCATCGGCGACGAGTTCCTGCAGCTCGAAAAGTACGTCAACCTGAACTACATGGGCTTCCACAAGATCCTGAAGAAGCACGACAAGGCGCTGCCCCAGACTCCCTGCCGCCAGTTCTACATCTCCCACCTGCACCAGCAGCCCTGGGTCCAGGTGGGCGCCGTGGCCATGGGCTTGTGGGCATTGGCAGCTTCAGCTCGGGCACTCTGAGATTGCACAACACTCGAGGACTGCCTGCCTGTCTTGGGGACAGAGCAATGTGGGGCACCTCCAGGCATCTGCCCCTGTGCTATCCTCACCCTCCTCCCCCCTCTCCCACCCTCAATTACCAGGGCAACTACTCTGAACTCATGGTTGTCCTCTCCAACATCTTCTCTGAGGTTCGAGGCGATACCCTGGCCGAGGCCCAGGGCGGATCCGCCCAGGTCAGGAAGAAAGGGAGGAACAAGCTGCTGGGTCGCAAGGTCTATACTTGTTGACAGCAGTGCAAGAACACAGAGTGGCTGCGGCGCGGCGATGAAATGGGCCGCAGCAGCTTGCCGAATTTTCTTGTTCCCAGCGCACTCTGGCACTGATAATGGCATATACACCTCGACGCATGCTTGCCAGGATTCCCGCTTCCCCTTCCCAGACTCGGCCTCACCTCAATGTTCATCCCTCAACCTCCACCCACACCCACCCACCAGGCGTTCAACCGCTCCACCACCAAGTACTGGATCCGCACCTCCGACGTGTCGGCCGTCAAGCGCACCATCATTGAGAACATGCCGGTGTTCGTGTTCAACGCCGAGAACTACTCGGGCGACGCGCAGCTGGTCAACTCGGTGTACTTTGACAATGACAGCCTGGAGCTGTACCACGGGCGCCTGGACAAGAAGCCCGGCGCACTGGCCATCCGCGTGCGCTGGTACGGGCCCAACGACCCCTCCCTCTGCTTCGTGGAGCGCAAGATCCACAAGGAGTCGTGGAAGGGGGAGAAGAGCGTGAAGGAGCGCTTCACGCTGCCTGAGGCGAAAGTGGTGCCATACATCGAGGGCGAGTACACGGCGGAGGAGTATGAGGAGGGCCTCCGAGCCAAGGTGTGTTGTGCGGGGGCCGGGGCTGGGCTCCCCTGTCAGTGGGCTTTCGGGGAGGAGATGGGTGTGAGGAAGGGCAGGGAGCTTGGTCGCCGGGTGTGATGTGGATGACCAGGGAGAAGACGAGCTGAAGGTGGAGTGTGAATGTGGCTGGCAACCCCACTCACACTCTTGCTCCTGCCAACCAAACGTACAGGGCAAGTCGGAGGAGGACATCGCCAAGGCATCCAAGCTCTTCCGCGAGATCCAGCTGACCATCGACAGCAAGCAGCTGAAGCCGTTTGTGCGCACGCAGTACATGCGTTCCGCCTTCCAGATGGGGCACGACCGCTCCGTCTCCTTCACCCTGGACACCAACCTGGTGATGCTGAAGGAGAACCCCGAGGGCGCGCCCACCTGCGCCATCTCGGGGCGGTGGTTCCGCGACCCCGCGCTCCCCGTCTCGCGCACTGAGATCACGCGCTTCCCGCACGCCGTGCTGGAGATCAAGCTGGCGCTGCCGGAGGGCGAGTCGCCGCCGGAGTGGGTGGCGGACCTCATGGAGTCGGACCTCATCACCGAGGTGCACAAGATGAGCAAGTTCATCCACGGCACTGCCACCCTCTTCCCGGAGATGGTCAGGGTGCGTTCGAAGAAAGGGGGAAGGGGGTGTTTGTCCTGTGGGGTGTGTGATGCCGTTGGACGAGTAGTTCTGAGTACGTGCCTTCAAAAGTGCATGGAGGGTAGCCCGGGCTACGCATATCAATTTGAGCCTCTGTCAGAGCACCCAGCCTCACCCCCTCCTGCTCCATCACCCCACCAGGCTGTGCCTTACTGGATGGACGACGAGTCCATCCGCGCCTCCATCCTCAACTCGGCCCCAGATGCCAAGCAGATCGACTCCAGGTGGGCGACGCATGCAGGCTTGCTGGACACGGGGGACCCTGGATGTGGGAGTGGAGAGTTGGCTGGGCGAGGGCAGGGAGTTTTTAGAAGATTGTGAGCAGGATTCAGGCAGCGGCAGGCTGCAGTGCCCAGGGAGCAGTCTCCACCAGTGCTCAGGCTGCCGCAGCTTCATTCTCACGAGTAGAACTCCCATGCCCACCTGGACCAACCACCGCTTGGCCGCAGGGCGCGCGACGCCCAGATCGTGGCCGAGGAGAAGCCGCGCAAGCGGCGGGGCCCCGAGCCGGCGGCCGGCGACGAGGACAGCACGCTGCACCACCCCCTGCTGGGGGAGGGCCCCACGCTGCAGCTCATGGACGAGGGCGGGGCGGCGGGGGCCGGGCGCTCGCTGCGGCGCGTCGGCGCCCCGCCCGCCGAGCGGCCCTGGGACAAGGTGCTGGCCTGGCTGCCGGGTTCAAAGAACAAGAAGCCCATGGCCACCACCATTCCCCAGGTGCGTCGATGAGGAAGGCCGGCAGAGAGTTTGGGGTGGCGGGGTATGCTGTACCCTCGTGGACCCTGTGTGGGTCCATACAGATCCCCCTATACCCCCCCCTCACCCGGGAGTATATGCTCCTCTGACCTGTCGCCGCCCTGCACCACCGCAAACCTATTACCTCCTACACCTATCACAGCGCCTGGAGCCCAAGACATTCCTGGCATCGGAGCGGACCTTCCTGTCCTGGATGCACATGGCCATCACCCTGGCGTCCATCGCCACCGCGCTGCTGGCCTTTGCGGGGTCCAGCAAGGACAAGCTCGACCCCCTGCACAAGGCAAGTTGTGTGAGGCTGGCCTGGGGCCGGTGGAAGCTGGGGAGGGGTCCTCGTGAAGAGAGCTTGAGGGATTGTGGGGGAGCTGCTCTTCCCGAGGCCTGGCTGCCACACACCGTGCTGCCACAGACCAATGGGCCAGGAGGAGATCCAGCATTGGCGCCTTTACGCAAACGTGCCTTGTCATACAGACAGCCCAGCTCTTCCACGCTTGCTGTGCACAGTCTTGAAGGTCCCTGCTCACACCAATTTTGACCCTCAATCCTTGATTCCCTGCAGGTCGGCGGCAACCTGGTGCTCTTCGTGGCCTTCATCCTGCTGCCCCTGTCCATCCTCATCGTGGCCTATGCTGCAATGGTACGCCGCTGGGAATCGGTCGCTGGTTGCGGCATGTGTGCGATTATTGCCCGGGGCTGGGGGGTGCTAAAGGTGTTTGCACACGTACTACTGGATACAAGGCTGCTGTTCATCATGAAGTCGCCTCCGGTCTAGACCCTCCTCCCACTTCCCTTACCACAACAGGTGTTTGTCTGGCGCAGCAACCAGATCGCGCTGAAGCAGGCGTCATACATTGACGACAGGAGGTCAGTGGGGGTTCGTAACTGTCGTTTGCCGTGCCGATCAGAGAGGGAGTCTATGGTTTGGTGTGCAGCGCAGGTGTACCTGGCCTCCTGTATGCAACAGTCCTGAAGTCGCTGGGCACACCCGCACCAATGTTCCTCACTGCGTGTGTAGGGGCCCATATCTGCTCGTGACCCTGGTGGTGCTGGCGCTGACCGCCATCTTCGTGGCTTCCAGCGTGGACCTCGTCACGGCCTGGAAGGAGACCCACTCCAGCGTAAGTCGGGCGGGCGGGTGGGATGCCGCGGGTGCGGGCTGGCTCTGGGGTGTGCTGGGCGATTGTTCCTGTGCTGCACGAGATGAGATGACAAGTCTGAGCCCTCCTGTGCCTGGACTGAGAGCTGCAATGATCTGCAAGCTCCCCTGTATACGTTTGCATCCTCCTCCCCCCAACGAACCATTTTAGGGCTATAAGGCGCCCGTCCACACTGCGGTCCACAAACAGCTCTTTGATAACTTGGGCTCACAGCTGGGGCGGATATGATGGCCGGCACCATGGTGGCGCGCTCCCAAGCCTGGTGGCTGTTTTTATGCCCTAGAATGTTCCGTGCAACTTGTGTCTCATCTTGCCATTGTGCTGCAGCTCCGTGAAGTTTCAATGTCGCCTGGTGTAAGTTTGAATATCCATCACCTATGACGTGAGCCATTACATTATGGACGATGAAGCTGAAGCCAGAGGCGCGATCCTACCGACCCCATGAAGCTGACGGGTCATCTAAAATAACCATTGCATATTGGTACCAATCAGGCATAGGAAGGCAGCAGAGGCGTCTGCCACCAGGAGATCTGTGGGCTGAAGGGGTCCCGCTCGTGCCACCCCGGAGGTCCCACCCACCATGTTTCCCTTCTCCCTGACGACGTCTGCCCACCCTTTCGTGGATTCCTTCTGCGATCCAGAGTGAGGAGTAAAGCATGCGGGGGCATGCATGCACGCCTCGGTTGCGCCCGCATCGATGCTGGAGTAAGATTCCGCCCAGCTCGACTCCCACCCATCTCGTCGCAGGGGGGCCGGTCACCACTTCACAAACTGGCTGGGACCCTTTACCCCCGTGAGCGATGGGCTTGGAATTAAGTGCACCTGTTTTTGACCGCACTCCGCATTCGATCTGGCCTGCAAAATGCCGTAGTCGGGCTGGGGCCAGCACCGCCTCGTTGAGCATCAGCAGCCTGGCCGTCAGGAGGGGCCCCACTCTGATCTACCTCGCGTCCCTGCCCTCCACCCCCTCCCTCGCACCCCACGATTCCACCCTGCACAGTGCTTCACGGACATCGTGGTCATCGGCGCGGCACATGCCCTGGCCATCGTCTGCAGCCTGGCCAGCCTCCATGCCTCGCTCCTGGATTCCAGGACCTCCAAGTACCGCCTGGGCACGAGTGACCGCCGGCGACATGTCGCGGCCGCGGTCCTGGCCGGCGCCGCCCTCCTGGTCCTCGCCCTGCAGCTCAACGCCCGCCTGGCCGCGCACGCGCTGCCCTTGGTGCACGGCGCCGCCGCGCCCTTCGAGTGGGCGGCCTACACCCTGGCCGCGCTTTCCTGGTCGCTCCTCGTCGCGCTGTTCGCGACGCACGCCAGGGCCTTTGCCCCCGCCTCGTCGCCGGCCCTGTGGCGGTTCCCTCCTTTCCTTGTGCTCACCGGCAACCTGGCCAAGCTCCGCTTCGTGCTGCAGTCGGAGGAGCGCAGCGACTACTTTGCGGCCCTGTTCTACGCCTACGTCGGGCTGCAGGTCGCCCTGTGCCTGCTCCTACTCTGGCTGGCGCCAGATTGCCGGAAGATGGTCCTCGTGGAGCAGGGCACGGGGCCGGACCCCGACACCGCGGCCTACTTGGTGGGTGGGCTGGAGGAGAGCGGGCTCCCTAGTGCAGATGCTGGTGTGCTCTGGAATAGCCCTTGCGATGCATGCTTGGTGACCATGAGGGGCACATGGGGTTGATTTATTTGGCAAGAGCCGGCAGCCAGGCTGCATATGCGGCAGATTTATTGGCTCCGCATCACCGGGCCTGCCTCCATCGCCTCGTTTGTGCGTTTTCCTCCCCATCATGGCGGCCCCCAACCCCTCTTCCCCCTCTCACGCCCGTCCCCCAATGGCAGCCGCTGCATGACGACGAGGACGTCTGCCCCGAGGTCCGCGCCGGCCCCCTCTCGCGGCTCACCTTCAGCTGGATGGGGCCGTTGATGAAGCGAGGCTACCGCGCCCCCCTCACCTTTGCCGACGTCTGGCGCCTGCCGCCGGCAGACAGGTCGGCCACCCTGGACCAGCGCTTTGCCCACTTCTGGGCGGCCGAGCGGCAGCGGAACCCAGAGAACCCCAGCCTGGTGAGGGTGGCGGGGGTAGATTGTTGGGCGGCTGGGAGTCTGGAGAGCTGTGGTGACGCAGGGACCGTGCATGGAGGTTGGACTCGTAGAAGTGGGGATGGGCAGAGGTGTACAGCCTTGTGGACACTCAGGATGCCATGTGGATCCTCCAAGCTCTGTGATATCCAACTCTTTGTTCATGCCCATCAAACCTCCCTCCCACTTTCAAAAACCCCTCCCCCACAAACAGACACTCGTGTGCTGGCAGGCGGTGTCCCACCTCTTCCTGCCCGCCATCCCAGTGAAGATGATCTCCGATGCAGCCCAGTTCGTGGCCCCAGTCTTCATCAACCTGCTGCTGAGCGCCGTGTCCAGTGGTGCCCCTGACCGCACCGGCTACCTACTGTCCCTGGGGCTGCTGGCGGGGCTGCTCACGGGAACCCTGGCCGACAACCAGCAATTCCAGCTCACAATGCGTGCAGGTGGGGGCGCTGTTGGACTGTTTGGTAGGGGCCGGGAGAGGCAGGAAAGGGCAGGGAGTGGAGTATTCAGCCTGGCACTTGAAGAATTTGTGTCTGGATGGTTCGAGGAGCTAGCCGCTGGGTTGCTTCATCCCTGCGCTGTTGATTTGTAGTGTCGAACGCTGGAGTTTTGCCGATGACGGGGCTTGCTGTGACCCATGAACGCCTGAATACACGTCAGCCATCCATGCCCTCCCTCAACAGGCTACCAAGTCCGCTCCATGCTGACACACGCTGTGTACCACAAGATCCTCTTCCTGACACCCAATGCCCGGGCCCAGTTCTCCAGCGGTGAGTTGTGCGCTGGGGAGTGAGGTAGGGCCTGTTCGTCAATGAGGTCCAGAATATCTCACTCACTTATCGCCAGCAATGCAGGCCGTCTCTACTCTGCCATTGGGTCGGATGTGGACACGCTGCAAAACCTGAGCCAGGGCATCCTGGGCTTCATCAGCAGGTAGGAGGCTGGCAGGACTTGCCTACGGACCATGCCCGGGTGGATGGGCTCCTTGCCTGGGTGGGAAGCGTGCGCCTCGCGATGCCCCTGCCACGCCCAAGTCCTGCTCCGCCCCCTGCATCGGCCTCATCCCTCATCCGCCGCCCATTCTTCAGCCCGGTCCGAATCATCGGCGCCCTGGTCCTGCTCTACTTCCAGCTCGGCATTGCTGCCATCACCGCCGTCGCCTTTCTGGTCCTGCTCCTCCCGGTCCAGGTGATTGTGTGGCTGGGTGTGTTCCAAGATGCCCTTTTGTCACTGCTGGGTGTCAGATTGCAAGGGTAGAGGCTCACCCCCCATCTCGGCACTTGCAGTCCCCCTTTCCACAACAACCATCCGTCCCTGGCCACAACACGCAGGCCTGGCTGGTGAGGCGTCAGCGCGCCATCCTGCGCGACTCTCTGGCCGCCACCGACGAGCGCGCCAAGCTGGAGTCGGAGCTGCTGGGCGGCGTGGACGTGGTCAAGTGCTACGTCTGGGAGGACAGCTTCCTGGACCGCATCCGCGGCGTGCGGGACCGGGAGCTGTGGATGCTGTGGCGTGCCTTCTTCATCGCCTCCTCCAACACCGTCATCATGCTGGCGGTGCCCGCGGCCGCGGCGGTGGGCGCCTTTGGCACCTACGCGCTGCTGACGCACAAGGCCCTAACCCCCTCCCAAGGTGCGTTGAAAGTCCTAGTATGTTATGAGGGTGATGAGTCCTGCATGACATGTATCTTGGAAAGCTTGCGTGGCTTCTAACATCACTCCTCCGTCTTCTTGGACATGCACCTGTGCATTCCGTCGCCCCCCTCGCTGAGCACCACCTCCTGAGCCCCTTCCTGGCCCACACCAATACATCCTCCCCCCCCCCCAAAAAAAAAAACAAACCTCACTCCTCCAGCCTTCACCTCCCTGAGCCTGCTTGCGGTGCTGCGCTTTCCCATCGCCAACCTGCCGCAGCTGGTGGCCTCAGCTGTGCAGGCCAGCGTGGCCCTTGGCAGGCTGCAGGCCATCCTAGCCAGCCCCGAGCAGGGCGAGGTGGAGCACCTCCCTCCTGCCGGCCCCGGCGAGGCGGCGGTGTCCCTGCACGGCGACTTTGCCTGGGCCTTGGACCTGCCCCCCAGCCTGCGCGACCTACACCTGGACCTCCGAGCCGGCCAGCTGGTGGCGGTGGTGGGTGCCACCGGCTCCGGCAAGTCTTCGCTCCTCTCCGCCGCATTGGGTTTGCTGGAGCGGCTGGGCGAGTCCCCCCCGCGTGTGCGCGGCCGCATCGCGCTCGTCCCCCAGACCGCCTTCATCACCGCCGAGTCGGTGCGAGGCAACGTGCTGTTCGGCGCGCCCCACGACCCCGTGCGCTACGCGGCCGCGCTGCGCGCCGCCGCGCTGGAGCCCGACCTCGCCCGCTTCCCGGCCGGGGACGAGACCGAGGTGGGCGAGCGCGGGGTCACGGTGTCGGGCGGGCAGAAGCAGCGCATCGCGCTGGCGCGGGCGGTCTACGCCGACGCAGACGTCGTGTTTCTGGATGACCCGCTGTCGGCCCTGGACGCGCGGGTGGGCCGCCGCGTCTTCCGCGACTGCGTGCAGGGCGCGCTGGCGGGGCGCACGCGGGTCCTGGTCACCAACCAGCTGCAGTATGTCAGCTCCGCGGACCGCATCCTGCTCATGCGCGACGGGCGGATCGTGGAGGACGGTACCTACGCGGAGCTGATGGCGGCGGGGGGGGAGTTTGTGGGCATCATGTCGCGGGCCGAGACCGAGAAGGAGGCGGGCGAGGAGGAGGTGGAGGAGGGCGCGGGGGGGGAGGAGAGTGGGGGAGAGGCGCATGTGCAGGACGGGGAACAGTCCGGCGCCAAGAATGGCGAGGCAGTGGCGCGCTCCAAGCTGTCCACCTCGACGAAGGCAAGGGGGTTTGGGGGTTGATGAGGAGGGAGTGGGGAGGGGTGGGGTCAAGTGTGTGTGCGTGCGTACCGCATTTGATAGCAGGCCCCCTGACTTTGGCGCGGACGACAGGTGTGTTCTCCTTACATAACCAATGGGCATCCGCTGTACAGCCCACCCCTAGCATCTCCAAGATCCCCCCACCCGTAACAACCCCTGCAGTCTGAGAGCAGCCTCGGAGCTCGCCGGCCGACGCGAGCCGAGCAGGCGGAGGCACCGGGGGCCCGTCTGGTGGAGGAGGAGGGACGCAGCACCGGCAAGGTGTCCTGGGGCATCATGCGTGGCTACATCACCGCACTCGGCGGGCCACTCCTCGTGCTCGTCCTCCTCGCCGTCTTCATTGCCGTGGAGGCGGCGCGTGTGGCTGCCCAGCTCTGGCTGCAGCACTGGACGGGGGAAGTGGACCGGACGCATGGTGGGCCGGGGTGTGGGTTTGGGGTGCTGCGGCTCCAGTGAACAGTGCAAGGGGGGATGATCAACGCGATGGAGGTCCGTGAGTGTATGTAGACGACTTGTGCCGCTCCACACTACATGTCACAAGAGTTTGCTGAGCCCTCGAGTGCACATGCCTTGCGATGACTTTGGGATGCAATGTTGATGAGCTGACTGCTGACACTCTTCCACCGCTTAACGATGCGCAGGTCACACCAAGCGCTCCATTGGCTTCTACCTGGGTGCGTATGAAGAGTATCTTTGAAGGGTTGCCCTCGGTGACTTCTGCGCTGTCGATGTGCTGATCCCAGAGCTGTCCCCGCAAGTGTCTGACACCATGCATTTGGGTAGCTGGCCCGGGGTCTCAACAGGCGTCATGCTGTGGGAAACCATTGCAGTGATCAGCCCAGCATGTTCTCTAGTTTACACCCCCCACAGAAGGCATGATCCACTCTTCCACCTCTCCTGCCGGCCCAAACCCCTTCACTGCCCCCAGATTTCCCCCCTCCTGTCACTATTATCAGGCATGTACGCCGCGCTGAGCGCGACCCAGGTCGTCTTCACGGCCATCTCGCAGTACTTGGCGCGGTACATGTCCCTGCTCGCTTCACGACGCCTGCACGATGCGATGATCGCGCGCCTGGTCCGCGCCCCCATGTCCTTCTTCAACATCACGCCGCTTGGTCGCATCGTCAACCGCCTGACCAAGGACACCTCGGAGCTGGACAAGAACCTGACCGACTACTCCGCCTTCTTCATGCGCTCCGTGTTCCAGCTGGCCTCCACCGTCATTCTTGGTGGGTTGAGAAGGGGGGCAGCAGAGGGTCCGGTGGAGGGCGGCGCCCACTGACCGACGATGGTGCAGCCTGTGCAGCTCATCCTCCTTGCTGGGGAGGATTACCTGAAAGGGTTTGCTTGGTGGGATGCAGTGCTCGACCATCCCCTGACCTGTGTCCCTGCTGTCCCTGACTCACGGACCTTCCAAGGCCTGGGAATGCCTGGTCATTCATGCAGTATGTTCTCACCCCACACCTCCACTCACACCTTGCAGTCGGCGCATTGAACCCCTTCACCCTCTGGGCCCTCACCCCCATTCTCTTCTCCTTTGTCGTCCTGTACCAGTACTTCCAGGTGCGGAGTGGGGGGGCGTGGTGCCGGGGTTTGGACCTGCATGTGCACCTCAGCCCCAGGCCTGTGCAGTGGGATCGTTGCCGATTGTGCCAGCAATCCACTTGTCTGCTCCTCATACGCTACCGTCTGCCCCACCCTCCATGCTCCCAATCCTGGGACACACCCGAGCACAAAACACCTCAGAACCCCGCCGACACCTCACCTCCACCGCCCAGACTACGGTGCGTGAAGTGAAGCGCCTGGACTCCATCTCGCGCTCGCCCATCTACACCTCGGTGGGCGAGGCGCTGGGTGGGCTGGCCTCCATCCGAGCCTTTCGCGCGGAGCGGCGCCTGCTGGCGCGCACCGGCCGCGCGCTGGACGGCAACGTGGTCATGTCCCTGGCCAACATGAGCGCCAACCGCTGGCTCAGCGTGCGGCTGGAGTCCCTGGGCGCGCTGGCCGCCGCCGCCGCCGCGCTGGCCGCCGTCGAGCAGCGCGGCGCGGCGGCGCTGCTGGGCAACATCCTGTCCAGCGCGCTGCAGATCACGAGCCTGACCAACATGACGCTGCGCAGCGCCAGCCTGGCGGAGGTGTCCTTCAACAGCGTGGAGCGCGTGCTGGAGTACAGCGAGCCGCCGCAGGAGGCGGCGGCCGTGGTCCCCGGTGCCGCCCCCCGGCGCTGGCCCTCCCGCGGCGCGCTGGCCTTCGAAAATGTCACCCTGCGCTATCGCCCCGGCCTGCCCCTGGTGCTGCGGGGCCTCAGCTTCCGCGTCCCCGGCGGCACCACCTGCGGCGTGGTGGGCCGCACGGGGGCCGGCAAGTCCAGCCTCATCAACGCCCTCTTCCGCCTGGTGGAGCTGGAGGGCGGGCGCATCACGCTGGACGGCGTGGCCACTGACACCCTGGGCCTGGCCCAGCTGCGCGGTGCCATGGCCCTTATTCCGCAGCAACCCGTGCTCTTCACGGGCAGCGTCCGCTTCAACCTCTCGCCCTTTGCCGGGCACAGCGACGCAGCGCTGTGGGCCGCGCTGCGCCACGCGCACCTGGCCACCGCCGTGGAGTCCAGCCCCCTGGGCCTGGACATGGTCATCTCCGAGGGCGGCGCGCCCCTGAGGTGGGACGTCGGATGGGGACGGTGCTTGTGTGTGGATGGGTGGTGGGTTGAGGGTGCGAGCAGCAGTCTTTAGGCGGCCAGCAGAGATAATCAAAGTCACTCCGGACCCCCCCCCCTTTCCACATCTAAACCTTCTACACCCTCACAGCGCGGGGCAGCGGCAGCTGCTGGCGCTGGCGCGCGCGCTGCTGCGCCCCACCAAGGTGCTCATCCTGGACGAGGCCACCGCCAGCGTGGACGTGGAGACCGACGCCCTGATCCAGGACACCGTTCGCCGAGAGTTCGGCGAGTGCACGGTCGTGGCCATCGCGCATCGCCTGCAGACCGTGATCGACGCGCACAATGTCTTGGTCATGGACGACGGGCTGGCCGTGGAGTTTGGGTCGGCCGCGCAGTTATTGGCCAAGCAGGACGGCGTCTTCACAGGTGGGGGTCGTTTGTTATCTAGGGTCTGCAGGCGGAATGGTGTGGTGTCTGCAGGCAGAGTGGGTGCTTGTCGATTGGCGAGGGTGCGCATGCACTGCATCGGCGAGGGTGCTTCGTGCCCCAGGTGCGCGCTGGTCCTAAATGCCTCAGTCGGATACCCATGACGCTCTGTTCCCCCCTCCTCCCCTGCACAGACATGGTGAGGGAGACGGGCCCCGCCAGTGAGCGCATGCTGCGCGCGCTGGCCGAGCAGGCGGCCGACGCTGTGCACCTTGCCGTGCCGGCGCGCAGCGGCGGCTCCCACCTCTCCACGCGCTCCGTGGACCTGCTGGCCTCCCCGCCACCGTCGCCGGGCGGCGCCTCGCCGCTGCGCGCGCTGGGCACGCATTCGCGCGAGCTGATGGCGGCGGCCGGTGGCGCAGCCGCGCAGCTGAAGAAGGCGCTGGAGGGGCTGGAGGCACTGGCGACGGGGGAGGAGGTGTACGAGGCGGGCGGGGAGGAGGAGGAGGGCGGCGGCACGCCCCGCTCCCACGCCCCGCGCCCAGCGCCCGACGGCGTGGCTGCGCGGGGCGACGCGCTGTCGGCGCAGGCCGCGCTGGCGCGCGCGGCGGCGCTGGTGCAGGAGGTCAGCAGTATGGCGCAGCGCGCGCAGCGTGACGTCGACGAGCTGGCACGCGGCCGCCCCGGCGCGCAGTGGGACGGGCTTTGAGGGCGGGCGGGCGTGGCGACGGCGAGGCCGGTGACCAGCGGGGTGTCAAGCTGCCGGCCCGACACAGGCCCCGATCCACCGTGCGCATCCACCGTCCCGCCCACTGCCAGCTGCTTCCCGGTCTGCCCATCATCACCTGACCACCGCCCCCTTCCTCGCTGCGCACGCTTCAAAAAGAGACTCACACCAGATCATGCACAGTGATGGCAAGCATGCGCCGGGGTCGACACTTGAAAAGAAGCACAGAGCGCAGCAGGAACTCGCGGGGCAGCCGGCCTGAGCCAAGGGGGGGCAGTGCGGCCTGGCGGCCGCCCCGCGCCTCGCGGCGCTGGCACGAGGGTCCATGTACAGGGGCGATCGGCATGAGGGCGCCACCGGGAGCGCGCTCACCGGCGTCTCGTCGCGCGGGGGCAGGCGTGGGAAGCAGCGCCCGAGCCGGCGGGCCTGCACGCCGCCTGCCGCATTCCGGTCCTCCCACTCCCCCTCCTCCACTGCAGGCCACCGCCCTCACTGCAGGCCCAGGCGGCGCAGGGCCGCCTCGGCGTCCCGCGCCTCGTCGGTCTGGCCGCCGGCGCCAGTCGCGCCGCGCGCGGGGTAGCCGCTGTTGTACCCCGAGGCCCCCGCCTCAGGGATTTGGTTGGCGCCGGCGTTGGGGAAATCCTGCATGTTGGCGCCCGCCACGCCGGCCAGCTGGCTGGCGGGGACCGGGCGGCCGTTGGAGGGGGTACCGCCCTGCTGCTGGTACTTCAGGATGGTCCAGTCGAAGACGTAGTCCCACGTGAAGCCTGCGCGGGCAGGGGATGGAGGGGGAGTGTGGATTCAATTGTTGCGGGGGACATGCGAGGGAACAGGCGTCACGGAGAGGGGGGAGCCTTGGTTGAGAAGTGGGGGTTGGGGGAATGTGCCTGGTGCACAACCACGCTCGTGAACAGGCTCGGCGTGGGTGCCGCAAGGGCAAGCCCATCGGCTGGAGTCCAACCAGCGCAGGGCGCGAGCGTGCGATGCTCGAGGCCGCCGCGGCTTGTTGGCCTCGTTCCAGGCATAGCAGGCGCCAGCACCTTTGCTGCTCCCCAACCCCCACCTGTATCCCCTCGACAGGTCTCCAGACTGACCCTTCTCCCACACCACGCTCTCCTTTCTCCCTCCTGGCCACTCCCAAAACACCTCGAATCGCCCACCTTCGCGCACAAACAGGTCCCGGAACAGCTTGCGGAGGTAAGAGTAGTCGGGCTTGTCGTCGAAGCGCAGGCTGCGCACGTACTGGAAGTAGACGGGGAATTCGGTGGGGAAGCCGCGGCACAGCGTCTCGGTGGGCGTGGCCAGCTTGCGGTCCGAGATCTTGTCGTACTTGGCCTTCTTGGTGGCCGCCTTCATGCCCTGCCAGGGCAGCATGCCGCGCAGGAAGTACATGAGAACGTAGCCCAGGGACTCGAGGTCGTCGCGGCGCGACTGCTCAATGCCCAGGTGCGTGTTGATGGAGGCGTACCGCGCCGTCCCCGTCAGGTTCTTGTTCTCCCTGTACGGGATGTGGATGTGGCTCTTGGGGTCGCGGTACTTCTTGGCCAGCCCAAAGTCGATCATGTACACCTGGTGGAAAGGGGGGCGCAAGGGGGAAAGGGGGGGTGTGCGCGTCAGGTGAGGGGTTGGAGGGTGTGTGGATTGCCTTGTGAGACGACTGGTCAGAGCGCAGGGCAGCCGAAGAGGAAAGGGCAAGGCTGTGGTGAAAATACCCTGTCCAATGCACATCCAAACCCAAGATCCTCCACACGCCACTCCCCATCCCGCCTACCCAGTCCAGGCACCACGCCCCCGCACCTGGTTTGCACGGCGCCCCAGCCCCATCAGGAAATTGTCGGGCTTGATGTCGCGGTGGATGAACGACTTGCTGTGCAGGAACTCGATGCGAGAGAGCTGGGAAGGAGGGGATGGGCATGGAAAACTGAGCAGCGGGTCCTCGGGCGAGAGTACTCCGACGCCAACCCGAGGCAGACGAGGGGGAAACCATGCAGGGAGCCACACCTCAGACACAACCCTGGACGATGCAGAGGCTTCTCACACACTGCCAGCCCAACGAACGCCCCCCTGCCTACCATCTGATCCGCGAGCATCAGGACCGTCTTGAGGCTGAACTTGCGGTTGCAAAAGTTGAACAGATCCTCAAGGCTGGGTCCCAGCAGATCGATCACCATCACTGTGTAGTCACCCTCCATCCCAAACCAGCGTATATTAGGGATCCCAGCTGCATAGGGTGGCAGGGGTGATGGGTGTTGTGTGAGTGGTGGGCGACAGCTGGCAAGGTGCGCTTGGACAAGGGAAGCCCAACGCTACAGCGAGCACACCCCAAACCCTTCCCGCTCCAACCGCCCACTCACTTCCGCCCTGCAGGAGCTTGTACAGGCGGGACTCATACAGCAGCTGGGGGTGCTTGGTCTTCACCGACTCCAGCTTGATGCCAACCTCCTCGCCGGTGAGGAGGTGGGTGCCTGTGCATCGCATGGATTCCCGATTCGTTGTGAGCTTCGCCTGTGCACCTGAGGACCAAAACGACTGTGCCACCAGAGAGCGCCACGCACCTATGTAAATGTCGCCAAAGCTCCCCGAGCCGATCTTCCTCCCGAGCCGGTACTTCCCCTACAGCCATCACAAGGCGAAAGGGCGTTGCTGCCGGTGAGTTGGGGAGACGTTTGCCTCCGGTGGACATCCTGCTTTCGATCTCTTGATCAAGAAGATTGAGACCAAGCCAAGCACTCGTCTTACCGCAATCCTAATGTCCATGTGCGCGAGGTGAGACATCGTGGCACACTTGTCTGTCGATACGGGCAGAAAGCCAGAGCTGAAGGCGTAGCGCTACAGGGCTCAGACACCTAGCCCTGGTCTTGCTGCATCCTAGGAATCGGGGGCAACACCACGCGGGCCTTGGGGCGAAAACTTCGGGAGCGGTTGTCAAGCCCGAGGACTCGAGATAAGCCGTCCTCGGGAGGGTTCCCCAACTGAGTCACACCTATCCCCTTCCTCCAAGAAGGGAGGTTGTCAGGACCACAGTGCAGGTCGGTGCCGACAGCCTTCCCGGCAACCCCCTTGGGCAGTGAGGCCCAAACTCAACAAGCGCGGGGGGCCCTAGCACCCGACGGAGTCGAATGGCGCTTGCCCCCCCCCCTTTCCCGACGAGGTGGCAACGCCGAGTCCGCGGAGCGGCGCCGAGTGCTCAAGTACCTGAGGAGACAGTGTCCAATGTTGAATTGATAGTTGCTACGAGTACGCATAAATCACACATCAGCCAGGCGCCTCACCCCACCCACCCCAGCCGCTTGTGGCGGCCCTTGTAGAGCATGTGGGTTCTGACTTGCACGGAAGCTGGGGCCTGGGGCGGTACTTTGTGCGTCTTTTTATATGTATGCACTGACATCGATGCCGCCTACATCCACCTGCTCACCGAGCCCCTTCCACCGCTTGTCCACAGGGTAAGCGACCGCAAGAAGAAGCAGGCGGCCCTGAAGAAGGGCAAGGTCGCGGGCAAGGGATCCTCTGCCACCCTCGCCTCTGAGAGCTCCGATGCCGAGAACGCGTTCGGCAGCACAACACAGCTGGCGCGGGACGTGGAGGACCTGGAACTGAACGACAGGTCCTGCACGGGCATCCTCACCTCCCACCCCCAGTCGCGCGACATCCACTTCCAGTCCTTTACCCTCCTCTTCCACGGGCACGAGATCCTGACGGATGCGGACCTTGAGCTCAATTATGGCAGGTGAATGTGAAGAAAGGAGGGGGTGGGGGGTGGAGAGGGTTGGGGTGATGCTCCCATGTGCATGGGATGGTCACAGGAGCCGGGGACATAGCCAGCGAGAGAGCTCGTCCTATCGACAGTCTTGGCCCACGATCGATCTAGACCCTCTCAATAGATTGAAGCTTGCAATCCACTGGCAAAACAGCTCCGTGTTCGTGCATCTCTGCCCTCATTCCCTGCACTCCCCCCCAAAAGGCGTTACGGCCTGCTAGGCCCCAACGGCTGTGGCAAGTCGACGCTGCTCAAGGCGCTGGGCGCGCGCGAGCTGGACATCCCCGCCCACATAGACACCTACTTCCTGGACCGGGAGATCGCGGCTTCAGACCTTACCGCCCTCCAGGCCGTCATGTCGGTGGACGAGGAGCGCGCGCAGCTGGAGGCGGAGGCCGAATCGCTGGCGGACGCGGAGGGTGGTGAGGCGGAACAGCGCCTGGAGGACATCTACGAGCGGCTGGAGGCCATGGAGAGCGAGATGGCGGAGACGCGGGCGGCCTCCATCCTGCACGGCCTGGGGTTCGACAAGAAGATGCAGGCCAAGCCCACGCGCGACTTCTCCGGCGGCTGGCGCATGCGCATCGCGCTGGCGCGCGCGCTGTTCGTGGAGCCCACCTTTTTGATCCTGGACGAGCCCACCAACCACCTGGACCTGGAGGCCTGCGTGTGGCTGGAGGAGACGCTGAAGAAGTGGAAGCGCATCCTGCTCCTCGTTTCCCACTCCCAGGACTTCCTCAACGGCGTCTGCACCAACATCATCCTCATGCAACATAAGCAGCTCAAGTACTACGCAGGTGGGAATGCGTCGAGCGGTGTCTGCCATCCCCCTCTCTGCTCGCGCCATGTGCAATCTGGTGCAACCCCCACACCCTGCCCAGCCCTGTCTGTGCTGGAGCACCCTCCCTTTCCTCGAATCTTCCTCACCCTGCCTGCTTGCACCCTTCCGTGACGGAGGTGATGATACCGCAACCTTTGAGCGACGCGGGGGCCGATCAAACTCCCGCCCGCGCAAACTGAAAACAAGGCATGCTTATGAACGCTTGGCTTCTGATCCGTCACGATCTTTGGATGCTCTCTCTTTGTTGTCTTCCCTCCTCTATGCACTGCACGCATGTCTCAGGCATACCCTGAGAGCTTGTGCGGGGTTTGCCCGTTTCTTCGCGCGCGTCACTGCATCCTGGAGGGTGCGGCACGCAATGCGAGCCCTGATGCTCCTCCCACCCTCCACACCCTGGGCCCCTTCCTCAACAGCCACCCCCCTGCTCAACCCCCGCAGGTGACTACGACACCTACGTGCGGACGCGGGCCGAGCAGGAGGAGAACCAGATGAAGAAGTACAAGTGGGAGCAGGAGCAGATCGCCAACATGAAGGACTACATCGCGCGCTTCGGCCACGGCTCAGCCAAGCTGGCCCGGCAAGCACAGGTGCGAGGGAGGGGTGCGGTGTGCCTGGCTCAGGGAGGGGATGTGCACGCCCTGGTCCTCTGGGGCGCACC